ACTAACCACTATGTCATGTGCTGATTGGACTGTTAGTGAGGTATGTTTCAATCTCAGCAGGCTATCAGGTCTCAAGACCTGGCAAGTTTCATATATTCTGATTCTGATGCTGAGTCATGGCCATACTCCAGAAGCTATGAATATGTGTACATATTACATGGTGTCCTTGAAAGATTAGTTATCTATGAAGGTAGTGCTCTTGAGTTACATCCTGAAGCCATGGATGGATGGAAACACTGCAGATTAACTGATGAAATTGAGAACAGTATCCTAGGGATAATTGTATGAGAGGAAATTAATAATTCTCAGAATAAGTTTGGTAGTGAGTTCCAGGTCAGCTGGGGCTACAGGGAGTCCCTGTCTCAAAAAGACAAAAAAAAAAAAAAAAAAAAAAAAAAAAAGAAAAAGGAAAAAGAAAACACACGCACACACACGCAAAAGAAAACACCACAAAAGAGGAGTATTCTATGTTAAAAGGTGCGTGGATATTAGAGTTCAATCAAGACATCTTTTATTGCTTAGTCTGAATGACCTTCAGAAATTTACTTTTCAAAGCTTCAGCTGGCTCATTTGTAATATTGAGATGATAGTAGTAGCTATCAATATTTGTAAGACTTAATGAGCAAATCCATATAAAGTATCTGGCTCAGAGCTTGAGCTTTAGGAAGGGCTAAACAAAGCACAATACCTATTATGCTTTTCTAAAGTCATCTAGAATAGCTGATGCTCTAGTTCTCATCTCCTAGTCAATGCCTTCTTATATAAATCAGTTGTTCATTTCACATGAAGATGACAATATTTTGTAATCATTGTATGTTTTCATTTTCCTCTTTTCAAATTCTACTTATAATCTCATTTTTCCTCCACCTCAAGCTCTACTCTAAATTTCTTGTCTGACATTTTTACATACCTTAAATGTGAATGGAAAGTATCAAATTTTGAAATACTGATCTTTTGAAACCTGAAGGTATTCTAAGAAAAGGTATCAAAATAAAGGTAATAAAATAAAATACACCACTGTGGTGATTTCAGACAGTTCAGAAAGATATTCTTTACCAGCATATACATGGAATATTTCTTTCTTAAGCAAAATACTATATTATATGTTATTACCCTTAGAACATTTCTCTATTCCTTACTTCTTTTTCTTCCTTGTTTCTATGAATTTTCTTTTTAAAAATATTTTATTATTTTTATTTTATGTATATGAGTCTATTGCCTACATGTCTAACCTGTATTGTGCAATGCCCACGGAGGTCAGAAGAGGGTGTCGGATCCCCTGGAACTGGAAAGCTCGATAAATGTAACAAATCGTTGTTTAAGACAATAATGGATAGACAGGGATGGTAGAAACTGTGAATTAATTACAATTGCCCAATTATTAAAAGCAGAACATAAAATATGAATTAGTAGGGGGCAAATATATAGATTGAAGCAAGTTATTTTCAAGTTTTGACTAGTGACAAGGTACTTGTAAATAAGCCCCTCAGATGTATATAGAGCAATATACTATTATCAAAAAAGAACAATAAAACTATCATATGTTTTATCTCATTTGATCTTCAAGAAGCCTCAGCCAGGCTTGTTTTATTACCTCTATTTTATAGATGCAAGATATAATTTGCCTGGAAGCACGGTGTAAGCACAAGTAAAACTCGGGTTGATATTTATGTCTATATAACTTTTATTATATTAAGATCCCCAGTTATAAGCTTGTTATTTCATCCAAACAATAATCATCAGATTTTAAAACACCTTGTTATAATTAGAAATTTGCCTTAGGTGGTATTTAGTACCACCCATACTCTTTTTTTAGCTCGTGATTGGCTATTTCAGGAACACCTATCTTAAGATTCCAGCATTATTTTTTATCTGGAAGGAAGGAAAACAGTAGATTCAATTTACTGTCTAAGGTAGAGAAGAGAGGAAAAAGAGGTCCTGTGATAATTTCCTGTGATAATACATTTCTTGAGAAACCATATTATTGGTAAGTACCTGGAGCTTCTCCAATAATGCTATGATTATCCAACCAATTCATTCTCTCTCTCTCTCTCTCTCTCTCTCTCTCTCTCTCTCTCTCGGAGGGTATGGAACCCAGAGCCTTGTTAAGGCCAGGGAAGCATTCTACCCCTGAGCTCCATCTTCAGCACCAACCAAATCTTAAAGTGTGTGTGTGTGGGGGGGGGTATTATGTAGCATCATTTTTAAGATATGGTGAATTAAGACTGAAAAGATAAAATGTCTGTAAGTTTGCTATTATGAAGAGTCTGCCAATGGGAAATTGTGTCAGCAGTAGTGTTAGATAAAAGCAAGTGGGTAGAAGGAAGAAGATGCCCTTCCTATTGCTCTTAGGTAAGGAAAGTGCCTAGTAGTAACTGCTATCCAAGATCCTGGAACTATCTTATCTAGATTTAAATCCACACTTTAACATTTACATTTTGGGTGACTTGAGGGATACTTAATTTCTCTGTGTCTCAAGCCCAACTGTGAAAACTGTATGAAATAATGCCTGTAAAATCAATGGGGCTCAGGATGCTTTGAATAATTAATAAGTGTTAAGAGGCCTTATTATCATTACAGACATTGTGACCGCTGCTATTTGTCCTTGGATCTTACACAAATTGAAAGATTTATCTGGAATATTATCAGGCAAAACAATGCAAACAGAAAAAAAACCTGTATGCTTAATGCCTGTTTATTGAACTTTTCCTCTATCACATATATAATAATAAAATTACATGGTGTGTTTGATGTCTTGGGTGGGAACCGTAGGTTGAAGAAATTTGCGTGTGGAAGGCTTTTTGTACAATAAGTGCAGACTTAGTCTTTGGGTCAAGAAAATTTATTTGCTAGTTATTGCAAAGGATTCAAAAGACCAGGTTTTCAGTCCTTACTCTGCCACCAATATGTTGTGTGAACTTGGACAACTTGTGTTTTGGGACATGAGCTGTTTTAAAATGTGAACAGTGATTTGTGAAGTTTATCAGAAGCATCTCAAATTGTGTATGTTTAGATTTCATTACTTCTCTTTGTCTTCAGGTTTCCTCCAACATTGTGAAAAACTTTTAGGACCAAATACTATTTAAAGACCGTCACTTTACTAGTTACATTCCTGCAACCCTGAATCCAGTAATAGAATTATATTTGTGTTCATTTGGGAAGGTCTAGTTGGATCTGAGGTATAACTCAGAAATTTCTCTGTAGATATATCCATAAATGACCATAAAAGCCAGATATCCTATTTCCTATGCTTAAGCAGGTTGGGTTGGTCAACATTTAATAGCTAGAGTCAGATTTCAGTAGCCTATAGATAGAAATGAATCAAATGATATTTTTCTAGGACTATCATGACATTTTATTTTGAATCCATATTTTTCAGATATCAACATTAAAGAGACATATGCATATGATACTTTGGTAAAAATTCCTTACATCAACAGACTAACAGGGGCTACAGGGAGACGCTGTCTCAAACTTCCCCCTTCATCACCAACCCCAAATGATTTTTAACACTCTACTTAGATCCAATCCTTTGATCCCAAAATTGTGTTATATATCAGTTGAAGATTATCAATATCAGAATGTTTCAGGTGAATTGGTTGAAGAGGGCGTAGTGAAGAGAGAAGGATTATGCTTTTGATTTATTCTGTGGAGGAGAAAAGAAAAATAATCCAGAAATCTTTGAATAAGTAATCTTTAGTTCTTATCTTTCTGTGAAATTGTTGGTTCCATAAATACAGATTCAAGTGTGCAAAACTGAGAGTGGTAAATTTTCTTTTAAAAATCTTTTTCATAACTCCTTCCAAGGCTCAGGGAACATAGTGGAAGAGGAGTGCCAAGAATGTAAGAACTACAGGATGGGCAGATGGGCAGCAAAAAGATGTCTTCTGGACACAATGTAGCTGTGTCATCATGAACTCACTACAGTGTGGTCATCTACACAAGACCTGCATGGATGGGCAACCAACCCTAAATAAGCTCCTTCATATAAAAAAGAAGACATGAGAATAGGAGGGGGACTTGCTGGGAAGAAGAAGGGTTTCAACAGGAGAGTGGGGTGACAGAGGGTAATGCAGGTGAAAAACACTAAAATTACTTATATACATGTGTGGAATTATCACGAAAAATGAAAATGATAGGTTTTCAAATTAAGAATATATCTGTAAACATTAATCCTGTAAATTATGACCACAAAAGTAATGCTCTTCAACAATAAAAATCACGTTCTATTCTGTGACAATGAAATGTTGCAGTTTTAAAAAGAAAGGATAAGGTCAGATTTGTCTGATAGAGAGGTCACTCCTGTTGTACAGTGTGGACAATGTGTTGGAGTCAGGAATGACTAGATAAAATCCTTGATAACAAGATCAACTGGGGAAGTAAGAGTTGTAATGGAGAGATTGGATGGGAGAGGGAAGAGATGAGGAAGACTTAAAATCTGGGAGGTTAATGATGCTGTTTAATACTATGAGGAATAGGCAAAGCTGTAAGAGTTGTGAGTAGATTATAATGGTTCAATTGCTGTGACTAAGAGCAAAGGTCTTGGTTTTCTGAGGTTTGGAATACTGTTTTGAATCTTTTTCAGGAGTCCAGTAACTTTCAAATTTCTTTTCTTTAGAAAAGATTAAATGGTAGTATATTTTGGTTGCAGCTAGAGGAGATGGTTTCTGGGGAGATTAGGATGTCAAAATTCCCTCTGAGCACAAGTAGGGATCCTGCTGGTTGTGGCTTCTGAATGAAGGCTTTTCAAAGTCATTATTTCCTGATGAGAGCCTCTAGAAGTGTATGTTGATAAGAATTTACAGTTTTCGTTTTTACTCTTACAGAATCATATTGTTGTTATTACATTGATTCCAAATTTGATTTCCATTTCCACAGCTCAAGGGGTACAGTTTTCTTATCTTGTAGAAAGTACACAGAGAACTCACTGAAATGTTACTAGCATTTACTCACTTGATTATTTGAAGTAAGACACATTTCTGTTATGTTTTCCTTCTTAGAGTGGTGATTTCCATATACTAAACCCTGAAGAAATGGCTTTTATGTGTGTGGATACAAGGTGCCTGTGTATCCTTTTAATTTGCACAGCAATTGGCCATACTTTGGAGATAAAAGGTAAATAGATATGTTAAATGGATTTTAATGGAGTAGTTTAGAATTAGGGATATTAGTATTACTTGGAGTTTTAAAAAAATATATTCACAAAGTTATGAAACTTCCATTGCTACTAAGTTCCAGAATATTTTCACCACCTGTCCAGGAAATCCCACGGCCATTAAGCAGTCACACTATAGTACCTCCTCCTTCTAGCCTCTGAGGACCACTAATCTACTGTCTTCACCTAGCCGCTTGTCCATTCTGATTTCAAATAAATGAAATCATAAGATGTGAGCTTTTATGACTGACTTACTCCATGTTATAACTTGTTATCAGTATTTTATTTCTTTTTCTAGTTAAAAATACCACATTTTATAGATAAACTAGAGAGTTTTAAAAATCTAGTTATCAGGTGAGGAGCTTTTGGAAATTATCCATCTTCAGTTATCTTTGCATGATAATACAGAAAAATAAATATTTCCTTGATTTCATTTCAGTTAATCCTCCCCAGGATTTTGAAATACTGGATCCTGGATTATTAGGCTACATCTATTTACAATGGAAACCTCCTGTGGCTATAGAAAAACTTAACGAATGCACACTAGAATATGAATTAAAATACCGAAATGTTGATAGTGAAAGTTGGAAGGTAAGCAAAACATGACTTACGAACATTGGGTGTTTCCTTGTACCTCCTGACTTCAGCATGCACCAGCGTTCATGTCTCAACAGTTCTAATTAGTATACAACAAGCTGCCATGTGAGCTTTTGTCTTCTGTGCCTTTTGATAAATGTATTTTCACTACATTCAGTATTAAGGTTACCATTGAAAGTATAGAAAAGAACTCTAGGTCTCATAGAAAATGGACTTGAAGAGCACTTTCACATTTTATCATATTTTACAGATTCCTAGTGCATTTTCTATTGCTCTAACAAAATACCCAAGACTGAGTAATGTAGAAAAGAAGTAGAGGCTGGGGATATAGCTAGTGTTAGCGTACTTGATCAGCCTGAGCAAGGACTTAAATTTCGTCCTTAGCAACAGAGAGAGAGAGAGAGAGAGAGAGAGAGAGAGAGAGAGAGAG